TGGAAGAATATTAACTATTGATCCAAATTTTTTAGCAGGCATAGGCTTTAGATTTTCTATTCTTGCATGAGTTTTGAGAGACTATATATTTAATTGCTACATTTCATCTAGGATATAAAATTTGAGGGCAGTTCTTTTTCAAACTTTTAAGCTTTTAATAAGCTCTATAGTGATATTCCTCTTTCATTTCTAATACCAGTAATTTTGTATCCTTTTTTTGTAGTTATTATGGCTAGAAGCTTGTCAACTTCATCATTCTTCTCAAAAGCCTGATTTTGGTTTTCCTACTGATTTCCAGTATCATTATTACTCTCATTTTATTTCTTGTTCTGTTTGCTTACTTGTAATTTGTTCTCCATTTTTATAATTTCCTAAAGGAGAAACTTAAAGCATTGATTTTAATCTTATTTGCTAATATATGTATTGGATGCTATAAATTTCTCACTAAGCACTGCTCTTACTGTGTCCCATAAATTTTGTTGCATTTTAACTTTTAGTTCAAGGTATTTTAAAACTGAAGATTTTTTTAACTTATGTTATGTAAAAATGTGGTGTTTACTTTCTAAGTATTTTGGGATTTTACAGCTATCTTTCTGTTATTGATTTCTAGTTTAATCCACTGTGGTTTAAGAACTGGCATTGTATTGGATGTTTAATGGCACAGATGTACTCTATCCTTGTGAATGTTTCATATGAGCTTGACAAGAATGTGTACCATGCAACTGTTGGATAATCTATAGATTATATTATATTTAGTTGCTTGACGGTGGGGCTGAGTTCAATTATATCCTAACTGATTTTGTGCCTGTTGGCTAAGTCCATTTCAGGTAAAGAGGTAATGAAGTCTCCAACTATACTCTATTACATGTAATAGTGGATTTCATGTATTTTTCCTTATAGTTCTGTTCTGTTTTTTGGTCTAAATTTTTATTTCAATTCTGTTTTTTAGCTGTAAATCTATTTGATTCTTTACTATATATCTAATTTCTTGGTGAAATTTTCTATGTTTTCATTTGTTTCAAGAATGTTTGAGAGCCAGGTGTGGTGGTGCATGCCTGTAATCCCAGCACTTGGGTGGCTGAGGGAGGAGGATCGCTGTGAGTTCAAGACCAGCCTGGGCTAAACAGTGAGTTCCAGAGTGGTTTGAACTACAGAGTGAGATCCTGTCTCAAAAAACCAAAAAACCAAAAACCAAACCAAAACAAAAAAGAATGGGCTGAGGATTTAGCTCACTGGTGCTGCCACCTGCCTCACAGCACAAGGGCTTGAGTTCAATTCCCAGCACAAAAAAAAAAAAAAAAAAAGTTTGTAATTGCTTGTTCAAACATCTTTATGATGGCTGTTTTAAAAGCTTGTTAGATAATTCCATCTCTTGGGTCACTTCAGCATTAGCGTCTAGTATCTTTTCTCATTCAAATTGAGAATTTCCTGGCTAGTGACAAGATGAATGATTTTTAATGTATTTTGTATATTCTGGGTATGGTATTTTTTTGAGATCCTAGATCATATTTTAAATCTTGCATCTTAGCATGCCTTTACTAAAACCAAGCTGACAGTGAAAGAGGAGCAGTAACTCTTGATCACCCAGAAGGAAGCTCTTGTTCTCCACAGAGAAGCTACTGACACTCTGGGGGATGTCGTGTTACCACTACAAAGGGTTGGAACTATGTGCTCTACTGCCCTCCACTGACTTCCTGGTAGGAGATAGATTCCTTGTTATTGTTGGACTTGGTGAAAGTCCAGATGCTGTACTTTATATTCAGTGACTTGACTCTAGTGGGACAGGTTAACTCACTCTGACAGTGATGGAAATCCATAAATACTGCAAGGCAAGGACGGCAAAGATGAGAACATGTTACTGATAAGTGGTGGTAAAAGTCTAGGCTCTGTATTTGGTCACTACTGGCGGGGAGAGGGAGGTAACCTTATTCGAAGTTCAGGCTCCCCACTTGGCTTCCTCTAGCTGCAAACAGACTCACATGTCTATCTTCCACCTAACCTTTGCTGACCAAAGTGCAAGATCCCAGTGTACCCCCCACTCATTGTATTTTGCAGGAATGAGGTTTCTACCTTTCTGGATGCTCCCTTTTCTCCTATTTGGCTGAAGAATATGATATGGGATTTTCTTAGGGCTGCATGTGTGTGTGTGTGTGTGTACACACGTGAGTGTGCTTGTATGTGCGGGTGTCTGTGCTAGCTGGTATTTCTCGGTTGCAGGCATCTAGCCTGCGATAATGAGGAAACAGAAAATCTGGAGAACTCTTACACCATTTACCAAAGTCCTGCATTTCTTAGCTGGTCCACTGTCTCTGCTCTACTTTGAAGGTCTTCTTACATATGTTTTACATATAATTTCTAGAGTTTTTAGTGTATTTACTAGAAGGGATAGGAGTAAGTAAACTACTTCTACATAGGTAAGTAGGGGTCTATTCAATATTGTGGAATAAGAGAAGCACATGTGTGTTTAAGGAATTAAAAGACCTGACTTAACCTAATTTCATATAGTCAAAATAGGAAACGAACATTAAGAATCAGACATCTGCATCTCTCGAATGACCAGTGATGTGGAATATTTTTTCATATATTTACTTGCTGCTTTTACTTCTTTGTCTAAGAAATGCCTGTTCATTTCAGATGCCCATTTTTTAATTAGGTCTTTATATTTGGGGGGGCTGACTGTTTTGAGTTCTTTATATATTCTAGGTAAGAGCCCTTTGTCTGAGGAGCAGCTGGTAAAAATTTTTTCCCACCTTGTAGGTTGTCTCTTAGTTCTGTTGATGGTTTCTTTTGCAGGGCAGAAGCTTTTTATTAAGATGAGATCCCAGCTGTTGATTCTTTCTGCTAATTCCTGTGCTACTGAGGATTTGTACATAAAGTTTTTTCCTATGCCAGTGTCTTCAAGAGTTCTGCCTAACTTATCTTCCAGCAAGTTTAGTGTTTCTATTTTAATATTTAGATCTTTAATCCACTTTGATTTTAGTTTAGTGCATGATGAAAGATAAGGGTCTAGTTTTAATCTGTGGCAGGTTGAAATCCAGTTTTTCCAACACCATTTATTAAAGAGACTATCTTGCCTCCAGTGAGGATGGTCGGCTCCTTTGTCAAAGATGAGGTAGCTGAGTACATCTGCAGTTGTTTTTGCACCTTCCAGTCTGTTCCACTGATCCTCAGGTCTGTTTCTTTGCCATTACCATGCTATTTTTATTACAGTAGCGATGTAGTATAGTTTCAAATTGGGAATTGTTACACCCGCTGCCACGTCTGTTGCCTAGGATGGCTTTTGCTATTTATTCTAGGTCTCTTCTGGTTCCAAATGAATTTTTGGATTATTTTTTCTAGTTCTGTGAAACACAGTGTTGGAATTTCAATTGGCATTGCATTGACTCTGTATAGCAGTTTTGGTAGCATGGCTATTTTCACTATGTTGATTCTTCCTACCCAGGAGCAGAGAATATCTTTTCATTTTCTTATATCCTCTTTGATCTCTTTTTCCAGAGTGCTGTAGTTTTCAGTGTAGAGGTCTTCTGCTTCTTTTGTTAGGTTGATTCCTACATACTTCATTTTTTTGGATGCTATGGTGAAAGGAATTGTTTCCCTAATTTCTCACTCAGGGAGTCTGTTATTTGTGTACAAGAAGGCTATTGATTTTTGAATGTTGACCAGCTACTCTGCTAAAAGTGTCAATTAAGTCTAGAAGTCTTTTGGTGGAATTTTTTGGGTCTTCAATGTAGAGTATCACATTGTCAGCAAGTAATGACAGTTTAACTTCTTCCTTTCCTATCTTTATTGCTTTAATTTCTTTCTCTTCTCTAATTGCTGTGGCTGTTTCCAGAATTATATCGAAGAGGAGTGGTGATAGTGGGCATCCTTGTCTTGTTCCTGATTTTAATGCGAAGGTTTTCAGTTTTTGGCCATTTAATATGATGTTGGCTGTTGGTTTTTCATAGATAGCCTTTATTAAGTTGAGATATAGACCATCTATTCCAATTTTTTTGCAGGTTTTTTAAATCATTGAATGAATGTTGAATTTTGTCAAATGCTTTTTCTGCATCTATTGAGAGGATCATATGGTTTTTGTCTTTGACTCTGTTAATATAGTGTATTACATTTATTGACTTAGGTATGTTGAACCACCCTGAGATTCCACCTCACCCCACAAAGAATGGCTGCTATCAAGAAATTAAACAATAACAAATGTTGGCGGGGTTGTGGAGAGAAAGGAACTGTTCTCTATTGTTGGTGGGAGTGCAGACTGGTGCAATCACTATGGAAATCAATATGGAGATACCTCAAAGAGCTGGGACTAGAGGTTTCATTTGACCCAGCCATCACTCTCCTGGGCATCTTTCCAAAAGAATTAAAAGAATCATACCACAGTGATATATGCACACCTATGTTTATAGTGGCACAGTTTGTAATAGCTACAACTTGGAAACAGCCCATTTACCCATCAACTGGAGACTGGGTAAAGAAGATGTGGTTTTTCTATAAAATGGAATACTACTCAGCCTTAAAGAATGAGAAATTAGATTCGTTCATAGGAAAATGGATACATATTGAGGATATACTCCTAAGTGAAATAAATAAGTCACACGTGTGTAAATACTGAATAGTTTCTCTGGTGTGAAAAACTGTAATAGTACATAAGATTGTAATGAGATAATTGACAATGTGAAATAGGAAGAAAAGGGCTAAAGGTGTAGGGGAAGTGGGAAGGGTAGGGGAAAGGTAATAATGGAAAAGAAAAAATATGGGAAAATGAAATAATGGAAATAAAGTGTTTGCAAATGGGGAGGGGAAGAGGGGGTAAAGGGAAGGCAGGGAAAAGGGGACAAAATGAGAACCAAGACCTGTCATGTAAAGGTACAAGATCCCAATAATGAATGTAACTGTACTATATAAGTAAAATGTACCATTAAATTCAATGAGGAAAAAAAAGAATCAGACAAATATTAAAACAACAGATATTTTAAAAATCTGATCTTCCATAGAAATTTTACCTTTCCCAGCGGTCCTCCTGATCTTTGGAATGGTGAATTTCTTCAAACGACTGACTTCTTCACCAGTAGTTGGTAAGGGTTCCTTGTTCGAGCTCATTTTCCATGTCATGTGCTTAGAAATTTTTTTCATTTTCCTTTTGCTTGTGGCCTAAAATGAACGCAAAGTTATTAAGCAAATGGTCAATAAATATTTTTTCTTTTTCTATGCACCAGAGAAATGTTGTGTTTTAAAAAATTAATTTTATTGGTAAAATATACAACGTAATATACAATATACAATACAATATACAATGGCATTCATTGTTGGAAATTTGTACCTTCACATAATCAATCTTGGTTCTTATTTTTTTCCCCATTCCTCTGTGAAGTGATAGCAGCAAACTTATTAAAGGCTTTAAAATAGAACTGAATAGTAATATAGTCTTAATTACACTGTCAGCAGGTTTTAATCTCAATTAGGCAGATATTAACCAATATGGGAAGTGAATTAACAATTTTGTTTTTTATGGTAACATTTAAATTATATTCTTTAGGTTCTAACACAGTTTCTTTGCATCATTATAAATGAATAACCAAAAGCTTCTCCATCCCCCAAAACTTAAAATCTTCTGGATTTAACTATTTGTACAAACATCTGGTAAAACTCTTACCAAATCATGATTCTTTAAAAGTATTATTCCTAAACTGGATTTCAACCTGTCAAAGATTAAAACTAGACCCCTATCTTTTACCATGTATTAAACTAAAATTGAAGTGGATTGAAGAGCTAAATATTAAAACAGAAACACTAAACTTGCTTGAAGATAGGTAGAACTCTTGAAGACACTAGCACAGGAAAAGATTTATGAACAAATCCTCAGTAGCACAGGAATTAGCACAAAGAATCAACAATTGGAATCTCATCTTATTAAAAAGCTTCTTCACTGCAAAAGAAACCACCAACAGAGCTAACAGACAACTGTGGAAAAAAATTTTTATCAGCCGTTCCTCAAAGGACTACTATTCAGAATATATGAAGAACTAAAAAAAAAAAAAAAAAATCAAACCCCCCAAATATAAAGATCCAATTTTAAAATGGGCATCTGAACTGAACAGGCATTTCTGAAAGAAGTGAAAGCACCAAATAAATATATGAAAAAATGTTCATCATTGCTCATTTGAGAGATGCAGATGAAAACAATGCTGAGGTTCCATTTTAGTCCAGAAAAAATGCCTATCAGGAAATCAATCAGTAACAAATACTAGTGGGGTTGTGGGAAGAAAGGAACCCTTCTCCATTGTTGCTGGGAGTACAGAATGGTGCAATCACTGTGAAAATCAGTATGGAGATACCTCAAAGAACTAGGATTAGAGGTCCCATTTGACCCATTTGGCCCAGCTATTCCTCCTTTTCAAAAGAATTAAACAAATCATACCACAGTGATATATGTGCACCCATGTTTTGTTTATAGCATCATAGTTTGTAATAGCTAAAGCTTGGAAACAGCCCATTTGCCCATCAACTAAAGACTATGTGTGTGTGTATGTGTGTGTGTGTGTGTGTGTGTGTGTGTGTGTGTTTAAATAAAAAAGAGTAGTACTCAGCCATAAAGAATGAGAAATTAGAAACATTTATAGCTAAATGGATGCACACTGAGGTCATAATCTTAAGTGAAATAAATAGGTCACACATACGTAAATACCGAATAGTTTCCCTGGTGTGAGAAGCTAAAAGTGTAAATAACGATCAAAATATATAATTGACAGGGCCAGAGATTTAGCTCAGCAGTTCTGCCCCCTGCCTTGCAAGGGCAAGGTCTCAAATTTGATCTCCAGTACAAAAAAAAAAAAGTATAAATGATCACGTGAAATATGAAGAAAAGGTCTAAAAGGGTAGGGGAACTAGGAGGGGTACGGGAAAGGAAAGAAGGGACAGGAAAAAATATGAGAAAAGGAAAACATGGAAACACGGTCTTTGTAAATAGGGAGGGGTGGAGAGTTTGAAGGGAGGGTAGAGTAATGGGGAAAAAATAAGAGCCAAGATACATTATGTAAAGGTACAAGTTCCCATTGCTGAATGTAACTGTACTGTATACCTTAAATGTACCAATAAGCTTAATGGAAAAAAATAAAATTCTTGGATAATTTAGTAAATTTTCAATGCCACAATGAAAAAAAAGTATTTTTCCTACAAACGTGTATACTAAAATGCTATTCTTTCTTTAGTGTAGCTTTTTTGGGGGCCTTGTTTATGATATTCTCTTTAATTTTTTTCCATTGAGTTTATTGGTACATTTTAGGTATACAGTACAGTTACATTCATTATTGGGATCTTGTACCTTTACATGACAGGTCTTGGTTCTCATTTTTTTTTCCCTTGTCCCTGCCCTCCCTTCACCCCCACCTCCCCTCCCCATTTACAAACACTTTTTTTCTGATATTCTCTTTATGATATCTCTGGCTTTAGGAGAAACTTACCAATTACTGCATGACTATTATTATAGTTGGTTGATAGCTAACAACTGTCAATTGCTTATTGGCTATTGCCCCATAATATTCTACAAATGTTAAGGCAATATCATATTACAGTAACAAGAATATTTTTCCCCTTCCTTTTATACCTATCTCCCCTTCCTTCTCTTTCTATACCTCACCATACCATCACCCCCCTGCACCAAACCCTGATTCTTAATTTCTCAGGCAGAACTCAAACTGGATATTAAAGAGAAGCTAAGGAGAGCTTTTTCATACCATTTCATAATATAGTTCATGGGTTTCCTGGTATGTATCTACTGCTTAGTTCAAATATTACATCATAATTAGAGATGCAAGTTAGTAGATGCCAAAATTCTCAGAATGGTCACAAAGGCTAAGATTCAGTTTAAGATTCATAAAGGTTTTGGTGGAGGGGGTGAAGGGACGGCAGGGGTATTGGGAAAAATAAGAACCTAGTACATCATGTAAAGATACAAGATCCCAATGATGAATGTAACTGTACTGTATATCTGAAAAGTACCAATAAACTTAATGAAACAAAAAGATTCATAAAGGATCATCCCTCCAATGCTCTACTCTTCCTGTGCCCTTAATGAAAGATGACTGTACAAACTTCCTATCAACCATGGATCAAAACAGAGAATAGACAAAAAGATCTCTAGAAAGAAAAGAAAATCGGTCCTTCCTTCACCTAGCCACACTGACAAATATTAGTGAGGCATTATCTTTTAAAAAGAAGACCCTTAAACCAGTTATAGTGGCAGATGCCTATAAATCCAAGCACTCAGGAGGTTGAGGCAGGAGATCAAAAGGAGTTTGAGGCCAGGCTGGGTTAATATAGTGAGTTCAAGGCTGGTATGAACTATACAGTGAGACTCTGTCTCAAAAACAACAACAACTAAAAAAGGAACAGGAGGAGAAGGAGAAGCAGCAGCAGAAAAGAAGAAGAAAAAAGAACATACTTAAGATATACTCCAGAGAAAGCTATCAGAACTGCCATACTGACCTGGGAGATTAGTAACTGGAAGGGAGTATAATTTATTTAGAAAGACTACCCTTAGAAATTAGGAATTTGAATTCTCCAGAGCACTATTTATAGATGAGAGATTGTTAAAAAAACCTGCAAAATCTTTTACCTGCTATCAAAAAGCTTTTCATAATACAATAATTATTTCAACTAAAGTCAGTCACAGTTAACAGTATTTAAGAAAGATCATGTTGATATACAAAGGTTTCATCAGTTACTTTTCAAATTTTCACATAAGCTTCTCAATTTACTTTAACATTTCTGAAATTTTAGTAATGTTCCTTTATTCACAAAAAGAACAAAATGTATCAGTTTTAAGACTGGCAAATAACACTGTTCTGTTTTCACTTTTTACAATTTCTTTTTATTTGTGGTAAATAATATTTTCTGATTTCCTTCCAATCTCAAATATAATTTTAAAATCTAATTCAAAATATTATTAAAGGAAATACAATGATGGTTATAGCAAAATCATCCCTCTTCTAGTTATCTTGGCAAAGAATTCTGTTGCGGAGAGAATACTCTTGGAACTTCAGGTTTTTGGGGCTTTTTTGGTACCAGGGATCAAACTCAGGACACCTTGCTCTTGTGAGGCAGGCACAGTGCCACTGAGGTAACTCACCAGCCTCTTGGAACTTTAGTCACAAAACAAATTCTGAGGTTCTTCTGCAAAGTTCTCAATGACTGTGAAATACAATTATATCTAATAAATACAAGGTTAAAACCAGGTAACACAGGTGATAATCTACAAAACTACTTAAAATAAGTGAAGAATTTCTCAGTTAAGACTACAGTATAGAGAGATGTAATATATTTCAACTTTCTGATGAGGAATTGGCAAACTACAGTATGGGCTTTGGGCCAAATCCAGCGTCCCTCCTGTTTCTATAAGGCCCATATGGTTAAGAATCAGTTTATATATTTAAATGACTAAAAAAAAGAGTATTTCATGTCACATAAATATTTATATGAAATTCAAGTTTCAGTATCTATACCAAGTTTTACTGGGACAAAAACTATGCCCTTTCACTTACGTATTGTATAAAGCTACTTTTTTACTTTCACAGTTAAGTAGGTGTGGCACAAGACATTATGGCCCACAATGATTAAAATATTTACCATTTCAGTACTTTAAAGTTTATCAACTGTTATAGATGATGAACTTAAATATCAAAGAGTTGGTTTTAAATAAAAATTAAGTATCAAACTTTCCCTTTCATGGCTTTTTCTCCTTTACTTTCCCCACTGTCTCAGCCATTTCTGTATTGTGAATTTTTTCTATCCAATTTTCTTTTCTATATTTAAATGGGCTCAAACTTGATCATTCAAAAGAACCAAAAATTTACCAGGGGCGTATTTGTTCTTGTCTAGCTCAATTCTACTCTTCAGTCTACTTTGATTTCTACTTCCATTACTCCACCTAAATAGAAATCTTCAAATCACCAATAATTCCTACAACAGTTTTTCATCTCAAAAGTATACTTCTAGCTCCTAATATACCTGGCTTCTCTTGGTCTGATACTCTGACCAACCTTTTGTTGAAACAATACAGCCAGTACCAGCCTTCTATAACTTCATAATTATAATTTTTATAGCTCAGTTGTCTTAGTTACTTTTTCTCCTTGCTGAGACAAAATACTTGACACTCAAAGCTATAGGAGGAAGTGTATATAGCAGCTCAGAATTTGTAGATGTTTCAGTTCATAGTTGGTTGGCTCCAAGGCAAGGTGGCATGCAGAGGAGTAACAGTTCATGTCAGGCAAAAGGCAGAAAGGCAGCAAGTAGCAAGCAATCACAGCAGCCTTCTTTCTGTCCCTTGTATCTTATCCAAGCTACCCACCCTTCATTGCATCATGAATATTTCCCAGCATCACATCCTTGATCCCAGCATCACACACTAGATCCAGCCACTTCAAAAAGCCCCACCTATGACTGCATGAAGATTTGGAGGGACATCAGGATTTGGCCTTTATTACTGATTTATTTTTTACTTATAATAAAAAGAAAAAAATTCTCTTTTAAAAATAGCTCACTTAGGTTAACCTTTGCAAACTCAACAAAAATATAAACTTGTGGGGATGGGGAAGCTCAGGGGTAGAGCACATGCCTAGCATATTTGACCACTCAGCACCATCCCCCAAAAGGAGGGGGCCCTGTGGTTTTAATTTGCCTTTCTTTCATTATCAGTGAGTGAACTATTTTTTCCTCAGTGAATCATTTTCCCTATCTCTTAAATCATTTTTTCAATAGAAAAGAGTCAATGATTTGTAAGACTTGTACACAGAGAAATTAGTTTCATCTGTCATATATTACAACATTTTGCTCTTTAAATTGATTATGGCATTTTCCTCCCACTGAAACTTTCTTTTTTGTGTTTTCTACTTTGTCTCTTTTATTAGACATTACCAACATAAGTGTATAAAAGTTCCAGTTGCTGAAGACAAGGAAGAGGATGAGGATTCCTCCTCTTCAGAACAAAGATGGGAGAAAAGTCATGTTTAAAAATAAAGTTCCAGTTGCTCCATATTCTCACTCACTGTCAACTACAGCAAAGCTTACTTCTTGCCAACCTGATAGATACAAATTTCTCATTGTGTTTTGTGTTTACCAAAGTTTTCATGAGAATGATCATCTACTGGAGCATACTTACTTGTCATTTACACATTCACATCTGTGAAATGCACATTCAGGTTTTTAACTACTTCTCTACACATTGTTTATATACCTCATGTCAGATGCCAGTTAACTTGCTGCAATTAGCTGGCTGCAAATTATGTGTGTTGCAGGTCAAAGATGACCATAACTTTTTTATTTTTCAACTTCACCTGCAGTCCTATACACAGAAAGTAGAAGTAAAAATGTTCCTAGGTCATCTCTATCATCTTCATATTAAATTATTAGAAAACTAGAAACAGAAGAGTAAAAGACACATAGTAGTTTTATTACGCTTTTAATTTTACTTAAAATGGCCACTAGGATTTATCAGATTATTTTTCATTTCTTTTCAATTCATCTTGTTTACTTTGTCACTGCCAAATTTCAGAATCTTTTAAGAGTGCCATGTAGAGACTAGCAAATCCTTTTGGAGAAGATGAGTGTTACATTAAGGCATTATGGTATTGTGATTTAGAGACAAATACACGTAATTACTACACCGTAATTCCAGTAGTTACTGGGACTCACCACCAGGAAATAAGGAACATTAAAAAAACAAAACTCCCAAGAGAACATCCTCACTCTGCTAATACTTGTTTTACTTATATTTAAAATATTTAGGCAAATAGAAACTATATCCTTCTTAAAAATAAGTATTCATCTTAATTACTTCCGGAGAAAGGTTGTACCAAATTAGAATGCACTGTATCTGTAAACTGTTAGAAATTTATATTAATACTCTACTAATATGAACTATAAGTTATCTTGGGGTAAACACAGCAAATGGAGTACTAATAAATAAAGCTTCTCTCAGATTTGACAACTATATTAAGTAAAACAAAAAAGCAAGTTACCTCCAATGCAAAAAAGTCTAGAACTGGTTACAGAGACCAGTTAAAATATGGGGAAAATCTAAGTTTTCTGGCCCACTCAGTGAGAAGGAGCTAAGGTTAGGCCGACTAAACTTTGCTCTCATTATTGTCTTTCTAAAATTATATTGAAAAAACTTTGCAAGGATTTTGACAGTGGTGGCAAACTTATGGCACATATGCCACAGCTGGTGGTCGTTATCAGTGAAAACTCAAAAAGGTGTGCCACTACTGATCTATGATATAGTAGGACAGGATTCTGTACAAGAAGTCAGCAGACAGGTTTCTTGTCCTAATTGTCACCCACTAAGTGCATATCTGCTCATAAGCCTTACTCTCATCTGTGTTTCAGTGAATCTTAAAGTTATACAGTAAACTGTAAAATGTTTTGCTCCTTCTATATCTCTCCTTCTTTTTCCTATTTCCAGGCTCTATTTATTCCCGTTTTCTCTATAGTTCTACACACAGGTATATTCAAGAAATTGCACATTACATGCAACATGATGCCTTAATAGCTTGATAGCTTCATAAGTAAAAACCATAACTTGCAAATGACTGAGAAAATTTATTTCCTCAATGACTGTGGCACTTTTTTATGTCAATAGTGGATTCAGTTTCTATCATCTGGGAGTGAATTTCACTTTCAGAATCAATCAAATTATTTAAAAATAACCTGATTACTATGTAGGTGACCAAATGTGGTAATACCACTTTTGACTAAGAAATGCAAAAATAAAAAAGATCTGGCTACAAAACAACTTACTTTCTTAGCCGGGGGTGAGGGTATACACCTGTAATTACAGCACACAGGAGCTAGAGGCAGGAAGAAGCACTTACTCAAAGTATGCTTAAAAAAACCCAACACAGTACTATAAGTAGTAGTAAGCAAAGCCATTACCTGAAATACTTACCAGTCTTCAATGGTATCTACAATCATACAGTTATGATGAGGACTCAGTCCATACATGAAAAATGATACAGGAATATCTATAAAGAGACAGAAATATAGAGGAAAATTATGGTAAGAATTGTCCCCAAAACTTATATTGTCCTCTTCGTACTTTTATTAACTCCTGATTTCTGCTTTCTTTTGGGGGCAGGGGAGGAGGAAGCTGTTTTTTCCATGTCTCAGTTCTTTCTTTCTTATATCCTTCATTTTTTTTTCATTCTTTCACCCTTCTTTTCTCAGTATGTTTTTCTTTCTCTTCCCTTTGGTACATTCTCTGCCACTCAGAGTTCCACTGTCATATTACTGATCTTATACAGTCTTTAGTAAGGAAACCTATATTGTGATACAGCAGATGGGCTTGCACTGGTGTTTAAATTTATACATAGCAAAAAACATTAACACATACTAAGTAACACTGCTACTTTATATCAAAATTTTAATTAACAATCATTTTAACAGTTATGATACATGTTATACACTGTGTAAGTCAGTGTAGGTCATGTGTGTTACAGTGGTATGTTTGTTATCCTTGAAAGTTTAAAAGGTTCTCCATCATTGGCATAGGTACTTTAAATATAGAATCTCATTTTATTTTCACAGACAGAGTATTCTCATTTCCAAATGAGCAAAGTTTAAGAATCTTGACTAAGGTTACCCAGCTGCTAAGGTAGTTTTCAGGTCAGGGCTTGATGCTTAAGCTTAGATTTTAAACCATTACACTATCCTAACCTAGTTCTTAACTTTCTTTCTAGAGGCATTTTAACTTTGAGAGTACCATGGAAACAATACAAACTGTAATTAGTACAAATCTTAATGATTAGCTGTTATAATCAGCTTCATGCTCTTATGAAGCTACATAATTTTAAATTCAGATCTTGGTGTCTGATGCTAGTACTGACTACATGGCAAAATACACTGTGTATTAATTCACGTACTTTTTAAGAGCTGTCTTTACTAGTGAAACATTTAGCAAAATTTGAGGCTTACTCCAAATTCTAGATTTTTCCCCTTCTCCAAGTTAGGCATTCAGAAGATATCACTACTATATAAAGTAAATAGTATAAATAAAAAGTTATCTGATTATATTATTTTGCCTATATTCAAATGCTTTAATGATGTATCATTTACTGCCCAAGAAAACCAAGGAAATATTGTAAAAGCAGAGAATGGAAAGAAATAATTAGGGCAAATACAGCCATATAATGCCAGAGTAGTAACAGGATGTGAAGATGGCATATAAAAACAAAATATCAAATAATTTACAAACTAGAAATTCTGAGCAATTGGAGAGTGATCATTCATGGCTCACTGGCATTCACAGAAGGCTATAAGTTATTGTCCAAATCATACGGGTGATACATACATTCAGATATAGATGGCTTTCCCTCTCTCCCAACCCCTCAAACTCTTCCTTTTCAATTTGTGCCTGGGGAAATGGTAGTTGCCACAAAGAAAGGTAGCTGTTCTGCCATCAACAATGTATTAACCCAAGAATACACCACTACAACATCCATGAGTGTGTAGTGAAGTGGGCTTCACAAATATACCTACCGCTCAAGCACTCAGCAATTCAGAGATTTATCATGAAAGAAATGGGTACTCCAGATATGCACCCTGATACCTTGCCCACAAAGCTGTCTGGGTCAAAGGAATAAGGGAAAGTTCCATGTTGTATTCACATGTGGATGTTCAGAAAACATGAGAATGAAGATTCACCAAACAAGTTCTATATTATCTATGTACATGATAATAATTTTTAAAAATGTGCAGTGAAGGCCAGGGATTTAGCTCAGTGGTTCTGCTGCCTGCCTCGCAAGCGCAAGGTCCCGAGTTCGATCCCCGGTATAAAACAAACAAACAAACAAAAAGCCAAACAAAAAATGTGCAGCCAATGTGGATAACTGATTGTCAAAAAAGTTATAAAACTGCAAAAAAAAATGGTTAACTATAGCATGTGTACAACAATTACACTAAGTTAAAGAACAGTTTGTTTGTTTTCCTGCTTGCCAGGTGGCACTGTGCCACTGAGCTAAATCCCTGACCCAAAGAATAGTTTTTAATTTGGTATATTAATAAGAATCTGAAACAAAGCTATAAATTAATGCAACTGGTATGTATAAGAAGAAAATGTGAGAATGAAAAAGTTAGCAATTTCTTTTAATTTGATCATGAAAGTTGCTCAAGGAAGGATGCCGACACAAAGACATTTGCATAGAGTTCCAGACTTTGTGGCAAGAGAATGGCAAACCAAATTCCTGGAAAAGGAAAAGGAAGAGCAACACTAACCACAGGTTTTAACAAAAAAGCTACTGGTTTGGTAAGCCTGTTCACAAATTTATGGGAGGTATTCCATTAAAAAAAAAAACTAAAACTGTCAATGCTTTTTTTCCCCTCTAGTGGAAGCTATCTAGTAGAGCAACTATGAATTTATTATGTAGGTGATTTAATACACAGAGGG